TTTTTTTTTTTTTTTTTTTGCCATGGATTCCAAGTATTTATTCAAGAATTTATGCTTCTTCTGCAAAATATGCTCTTAAAAATCTTCCTGGAGTCTCACAGATTTTTTTTTTCTTTATGCAACCACAATAAAAAAAAACATCTTCTCAAAGGTCTGTCCTCCTCCTTTTGCATTCCATAACTGATAGCTTTTTTCAAAAGCACAAATTTGACCTTCCAGCGTGAGGGTTTGTTCACTCTTCAGACCTGCAAAATGTAGCTTCTAATAGGTCTCAGAATCGGAGTCATTGAGTTCGTCTTCTTCTGTATATGGGTAGCCACCTTCCCTGCCAATGTTGTTGAAAGTACAGTAAGAGCTATGGTCACTCCTCATGATTGGCAAGGAATCGAAGGTGACAGTTTTTGAGGTGTTGGTGTAATGATTAATGGCATTGAATGTAAGGGAAGGTAGCGTGCTGCTCGATGAAACAGGCATCATCGTGGCCAGAATGAGAGCTAGGCAATCAGCCACATCCTTATTGGGAGCACAGGCCAAAGCTGGTGTGTAACCTGGGAAGTCAAGAAAAAAAAACACCTTAATTTAAAATAAAGACACTGTAAAAATTTCTCCAAGATCATGCCACCTTTCAGCTGTAAAAGTATATTACTTAGTTCTGTACCATTTAAAAAAAAAAAAAACAAACCCCAAAACAAAACCCATAGAATTAAATGCAGTTATCAATTAGACTTTTTTAAACTTTTGGTTACAAAAACAACCCAGAAGTTAGTGGGCTTTGGAACATAGACATTATTGTTTTATTAAGTCAGACACTCTAGGCCAGCAAAAAAAGCCTGGATTTGAAAATCACTTGACTGAGGAGGGACAACTAATGGCAGCCAGCAATGATGGGTGAAGGCATTCACTAGAGAGCTCTACAGCTCAACTACAAGAAACAGCTCAACATGTTAAATATTTCTTCATCCAGAAGCTTTCATACGGCTGTTCAACACGGACAGTTATTGTAGTACGACTGTCCTATCTCAGTAACAAGCTGGCTAAAGCATCAGGGCCAGGTAACTGAAAAGGAAGTGTACAATTTCAATCAACCTATACTGTATTACAACATACAGTAATATAAACTATAAAGCCAATGTCTAACTTTTATTTGAGGGATATCAATTAAGAAATCTGCAGAAGTTTGAGGAAACACCAGCTGGATTAGCAGGCTAGGACTACACCTCTTGGTTACTGAACTGGTCTGGCCAAACTCCTTCTGCCAGGCAATGCTACTGTGGTAACCCCCAAATGCAGGAGGACTCGGGCTGTGCAAGGACTTGCAGTCAGGTCACGTAGCTGTGAAATCTCTTCTGCTTAACTGTGGCTCTACTAATCCTTCAACATTTCTCCTTTTGCAGCTTCCCCCTTCCATATCTACTTGCCTCTACTCATTAAACATCGAGAAAAATGCTTCAAATTCTCTTCAGTTGAGATTTGTGCATTGCTCCTTCCTTAGACTTAAGGCTTAATCATTCAGCAAAGCACCTGAGGATAAGTTTTGGCACAGGCCTCGGGGTATATCAACAACACCGAGGCACTGCTGTTGGTGGTGACAACAGCAGCTCTAGAAGCAGGGCAGTCAGGTATGTGCAACCACAGGTAACAGCTAATTCTGCTGCCAAGACCAAAGTTCCCTCTGCCTGGCTCCGCACAGAAGTGGGTGGCAAGATCACCCTGTAGTCCCCTTGCAGTACCTCACGCTGCATGCGGTAGATGTGCGATGGGTATGAGCTCAATAGAAACACTCATGTTCAGGTACATTTGAAAGTCTGAAGTCCTGCAGTACCCCCAGTCCACAGCTTAAAGGCGTAAAAAATCCAGGCAAAAAGTACACAAGTAATTAAAAATAATAGATGGCTTGAAAGCAAACCCCACAATGGATTTCTATCCAAACCTTTGGAAGGTGTGGAAAATGAGGCAGTGCCCGTTCTACCAGCAAGTGTTTCAACTACTAAGGAATCATCTTTATTGTAGAAGTAGATCCAGGTCAAGTGTTAGAATCGAGCTCAGGAGTAGTTATCGTGTTGTACAATTGTACAGAAGTTTTAAACAAGTATGGCACATTATGGAAAATAACTGTAGCTAGAAATTAAGAAAACAGCAAGCTGGGGACAGACAGTCTCGCAGTTGAACTATTATTTGCTCAGGACAGACCTTGTGATTGATGCTTGGAACAGAGTAAGACAACAGTCCCTGCCCAAAGGAGCATACAATCCAAGGAAACACACAGATAATTCAAGCACAAAACGCACCAGCTGACCATGCGATAGGGCCGTACAGAAGTGCAGCGCAGCAGATGTTTTCATTGTTAGTAAGGTATCACAGCACTTAAACAGCTCAGAGTTAACAGTGACAGTCTGCAGAAGAGATACATTTTGAGAGGTTTCAGAAGCAAGGGCCAGAGCTTGCTACACTTGGGTGAAGACTGCATTTCAGGCACGTCAGGCAGAACAGAAGGCTCAGCATTGATACTCAAATGCACATAATTTAATTTCTACAGTTGCTGCAGATTGTATGAAGGTAAGATGACACAGAAAGTAAGTTTATTCAAGCTGTCTGTACTCAACACCGTTTCTTTCACTAACATGATTTGATAAAAGCTCAACGAATTAAAACAAGCAGTCACCAGCTACTTTTGAGCATCCCGGTTAACAGCCAATGTAAAAATGAAACAGATTACTTGTTTCTTTTAAAAGTTCTTTAAGAATAGTATTTATACTAATATTTGATTTCAGATCTTAAGCTTCTGGCTTTCATAACTAGGGATGAAATATCACAATTTTATTGCCTTAGACAAAGCAAAATCAAGTAACTGCTTGCACTATGAAAGACTGACATCTGTGTCCTCCACCACTTCATTTCCATTTATATTATTTTAAAATTGTAAGAACAAATTGTATCTTTATGTCCCTTAAACGACTGCAAACTGCTCATTCACATCAGGGCAACATAGGTATAAATACTCTTATTCAGTTTTCATATAATGTTCTCCATAATCTGTACTTGTATTTGTGTAAGCCTTCACAGGACAAAAAAAAAAAAAATAAATCTCACTATCTTCATTTATAGACAGGGCACCAGAAGCAGTGTGAGGTGAAGCTGCTTCCTTGCACAACAGAAAACAGAGACTAAGTGGTGGAAACTGCCTTAAGACCAGGACTGCCCCTGCCCAAACGCAGAGCTGCTCCCTCCCCTGGGGCTTGAAAGTTTCCATGAAGGTGCCTACAGGAAAATTGGAGGGTTATTAATGTGGTCAGTGCAAAGACAGTTCTCAAGATAAACTGAATGAGGTCTTACACTTGAGAAAGAGAAGAAATTAATCTGAGGCATGAGTCATTTTGTAAGCATTTACAAGAAAAATTCCTTCCAGAAAACTGGAGATCTCCAATATAAACGAAAATATGAGTAAAGGAAGGCAGACTGTCCCAGAAAATTTAGCTAGCTTAGTAAGTTAATTAGTAAGAAAAAACCCAAAACAAAAGAAAACAACTTGAAAAGTTGGTTGGGTGACTAAATAAAACTTCATCTGGTGTCAAATGAAAGAAAAAGCTAGCAGTTTCTTTTAAGACAGGTAAAATTGCATGCACAATTTAAAATTCAACAAAATTTTCATAGATGCAGGTGATGGCAAAGTTTCATCAAGACAGGTGTGGAAACATGGGAAAAAAACTTAAAGATTTGAGTGAGAACTGATACAGAACTGAGAATGAACTGTCAACATGACTACTTTTGAAAGTATGGTACCTAGACAGTTAATTTGCTGTTTCAGTTCCATTTAATCTTTTGAGGACCAAGAGGATTATATTTTTTCTCTAAAGATATTAGTTCTTAAATATCTCAAAATGTGATCTCACCACATTAAGAGATGCTCTATAACAAAAGCAGTATGACTTCAAATCTACAGCTTTAAATATCTGATAAATTATTTATAAATTGAAAGGCAGAGAATTGGAGTGACGTTAGTTTTCTTCAAAGCATTTTTGAAATATTTTTCAATCATTTTCTGTAGTCCGGATATAGCAACAGAGAACTAAGTAATTTTATAAGATATAGATACAAATAGAGACTGCTTGTAGTGCAGCCTCTATAGAAAAGGACAGCTTCAAAGACAAGAAGGGAATCATCACTCCACACCAGCTGAGGTTCTGCTGGTTACATGTTCCACGTATCAAGACAGCTTTCACGTAAAATACTAACTCAAACTTTACCCCCAGGTTCACCTAATTCTAACTGAAATGCCAGGCTTGCGTAGCAGATCACTGTTCTTATCTGAGCTACACTAAAGTAAGAGAATGTCAGTGTTGTGGTGTAAAATATTCCAGTTCCTATTTCTTCAGTCTGCTTTGCTAAACAGATAGCTTTCACCCTCCAAAATGCATGAATCATACTTTAATCCTCTCCAATAAAAAAATAAATCAAAGGTTCTCCTAGATTTTTACTTTATTAGAATTAATGTGTTTTGTTTTTTTTTTTTATTTAGAAACACTTACACTTTAGCAGCAGATGCTAAAAATCAAAGACAAGGAGACCTAAAGCAGAACCTGGCTATCACTACTGCCAGCTTTTCCATGTAATACAGAAGTTACACTATGGAAATTAAGTACACTTTTGCAAGCCTGATGATATACTAATACTTCTAAGAATTAAGAAAAATTACAGTGACAAGTGAAATAGATTGATAAATCCCATGAAACGTTTCCTTTGCTCTCTCACAACTCAAACTATTCATCACTTTGCACATACTGTACTTGAAGCTGGCGAATTCATCCAACAGAAGAAGTAGTCATTATGAATGTTCTCAAGGCTGCTTAAAATTCTTTAAACAAAGCAATTGTTATTAGAAAGAAAAGAACCAGAGTGAGGAACAAGATTAGGTAACAGAGTTACTTTAAAATTTAAAATACCAGCAGAATTAAGAAGAAGTTTTAACATGTTGCAGTTAGATCCTCAGGCTGCCAGAGAAGTGCAACCTCTATACAAACAACGTTTTAGTCTGTTATGCCAAAGATCCACCCTAAGTGGCTGGTTGCACAAGAAAAGCCCACAAAAATAAAAACATCTCCAAGTTAGCACGATGAGAAACAGAAATCAAAAGGATACATTTTCCAATCTTTTCATTTTAGGGACTTTAATTTAGAAGTTACCCCTGTCCCCTATTTTAGGCAAGGAGTGAACCTTAAATCACCCATGTTTAAGCAGTGTAATTTAAGAAACACACAGAAGTAGTCACAGTAAACATTAAGTGAGGAAAAAACCTTCCAAACTGGAAATATAATTAGTAGCATTAAATAGGCACTGCCCTTCTGGAAGAAAAAAAAAACCCCACCAAACCGTAAAAACCAACCTGTGCTCGCCCCCCTCCCAGCTATTGCTTTCATTTAAGACACATAGGGGTATGACATAAGAGCAGGAGCTCTCATGCTTTTAAAAGCACAGCTTTGGAGGACCACAGATGTCTTACATGAAAATATGCAAATAAGAAGTCAGTAGATCTAATTTTCCTTTGGTCTTACAAGGTATAGGATTTATTCTCTGTCATAAAGCAGTTACTTTTTCTTACTTTTATGTGCCAAAAAACTCTAAGGAGCCAGAAGCTTGAGACCTGTAATTCACACTTGCTTTTAAAAGCTAGCACCAATATACCTACCGTGGCAAAATGAATGACAATTCAATTCAGCTTAACAGCTGAAAGTTATACTTTACTTAAGTACAGATATATTTATATATATAGTATATATTTTCCTTATGTAAAACACTGTTTTTCTGACAATTTTCAGTCGATTATTCTGATCGTATTTCAGCCAAAGCTAGTGTATTTAGAGGGTATACATTATAAAACTACAAACGCAAATCAAACATTTCTATGCTGTGACCTGCATTATTTCGAAAATTTTAATTCTCGTTACACTTCTGCTGCTTGCTAAAATGACCCATCACCAACACCATTTTTTCTAGGGGGGAACCTACTACAAGGGTTATGTGAAATTGCCAAAGGGTTATTGTTTTCAGTGAGCTGAGTTTAAAACCACAGTTCCTTGTGGGGAAACAATTAATTTTTTCTTACCATTTTCATCTACAGCAAGTACACTTGCTCCCTTCCCTAAAAGCTCTTGAACTACAACCGTTAGTCCATTCCGAGCAGCAACATGCAGAGGTCTGTGAAGACAAGCAAACTCATATATAAACCTTAGAACGAGATATTAAGTAAGATAGATAGCTTGTATCTAGTTAAATGATTAAAGTATTTATACTTGTATGGTTTTTTTACACATTATATGAATATTATAGATGTAATAACTATGATGGGAAAACCAGCAGATCTCTTTTCTTATTACAAAGAAATGGTACCAATAACAACTGTGCACTTCCTTATTATGGCACCACACAGTGAGGGAGTAGCTACTCGAAAAGACCTACCTGCTTAGAAACTTTATTATGTTAAAAAGTTAGAAACATCTAGTACCTTACTGTTGATAAACCCTTCACTGATCCGTTGTAACAGATACTGTCACATCTGAGAATCACTGCACATCACTGGCAATCATCATTAGAACACTAACAGCGGAACGGTAGTCATATTCTACTGCATGTAAATGCTTATATGATATGCAGAGGCATTTCATCAATCTGCCTTTTAGAAACCACTATACTCCCTTGTGACTAGACATAGGAAAATTATTTTACAGTATAATACATGAAGCAAGCAAAGCAGATTATTTTTCAAAACCTTGAACTGTTAACCATAACTGCGTTTTGCACTGATTTAATCAATCAAGGAAAGTATAGCTTTGACACCTCAAATATTTTAATTATATCTTTTTTCAAATACAACAGGTTTTCAAAATTGGTTCCCACTAGCTTAAATAAAATCCTACCACCACTCAGCAGGAAACAGAATAATCAGCTTACTTCCCTTCTGCTTTATATTACTCTTCATTTATTTCAAAATTCTTAAAATTGTTGGAATTAACTGTGAACTATATTTTGATTTGGAAATAAGTGCCTTAACTTAGAGAACAGAAATGCAAAAGACACAAATAGGGGTAGCTATATCTATGGTGCTTATATTAAAGTATTGAAATTCAAGAACTACTGCACACCACAGATACTGAAAAATGTACTGTAATTAAAATGATTTTTATATAGAGGCCAACAATTTTAATGTTTATCTTGTTACAAACTAAGACATTGTTTAAGCTGTTTAGAAATCAGTTTATCTATTACAAAACATTTGCTAAACCAGTAATATTTTAAACAACTGTTAAAATCTTGAAATTTATATAAACATTTCACAGAGGTGTGAATATGTACCTATTTTTCCCCATGACATCTCTCGATTAGACTATATGAGCCAAGGCAAGTGGGTGGAATTACATGAGCCTGTGGTAGCATACTTTCCCCTTCTGTTCCCATCTCATTTTTGCTTTTCCTTCTCTCAAGACATCCCCACTTCAAGCCAGAGATGAGGCAATCAATTCCTTCCCTGCTTTCTGGTTATGTCATGCTGCCTGAGGTGCACCATGGTGAGCAGCAAAAGCAGAGGAAGAAGTCTTACTATCTTAAGTCCTTAGTTCAAGCAGATGTCTGGGAATAGTTGGAAGAACTGTAGGAGTTTGAACATGACAGATTCCAGAAGGGATCTCTAAGGCCAGAGAAATACACAAGCTGCTTACAAGAATTTTAACTGAAAAATTAGATAATCTGCAAAACAGAAAAATACTGATTTACAGGTAATCTCAGTGGATTGCAGCAATTCCACACAGAATTCCCTGAATCACAATACTGTAAGACTTATCAGCCCTTTTGCCCAGGTAAAACTAGAATCTTATGTATGACCAAAACACTGTTTCACTTCAGGGCAGTTCAACTCTTGATACCCATTAAGCAATTAAAATTCAAACAATTTAGAAAAAAATTCTCAAAAATATTCCACTTTTTGAGCAAGATACACACCAAAAACTCACAGTAAAACACACTGCTGATACATACGTTTGCAAGGCTGCATTGGTGGCATTGATGAGGTTTCTATCCGTAATCTTCTCCAGTATTAACAAGGCACTAGTTTCATGACCCTTAATACAAAACATATAACAAATGCTCTTCAGAAATTGCTTTGAATGCCTTTTCAAAGTAACAAGTTGACAACTGCAAACAGTGCATGGTAACACAAAGCTCAGCACTGATAAATCACACTAAGCACACACCTTGCTGCAAGCCAAATGGAGTGCTGTGTTCTTAGAACTGTCTTGCAAAGTCAGATCAGCTTTAGCACTGCTAACCAGCACCTCTGAGGAAATAAAGATTTGTATTAACTAAAAGCATATTCCTTAAACTCTTAATGACTTACATTTGTGCAAAATGAAAACATATACCCACAAGGACAGTTTATAAGGCAACTTTACCCACAGTAAGGTTAACAAACCTGAGAGCAGAAATATATAAAGCTTTCTCTTTACCAACTGTATTCGTCTGTCCATTTTCTGCAGCCATCATTAAAGGCGTCTTCCCAGAAGAATCTACAGCATTTACTTGAGCATTGTGACTGAGCAGAAGCTGTAGACACTCAACGTGATCTGTAAAAGCTGCTGCATGAAGAGGAGTTCTACAACAGATTAAAAGACAATATGGCCATGTTCAGTCATGCTTTCTACATTATTCACAGGGGCATCCTAACTGTGATCCTGCAGATATTAATGAGTGGACAACCCGTCCTTGCTGATCCTTTGAAATCAGTATTCCTGGAGTTGTGACTGCTGCCTTTAGAAAGTCACCTTCAAGATTCAAATAATTCCTTCTATGTAGTTTATAACAGAGATACAATTTGATTCAGAAAAAGTAAAATATGCATCAAATACTACTCACAAAGTGATACAATTTAAAACATGCTCAAACCTGTCTAGATAATAAAAAGCCAACAGAAGTTTATTGAATTAGAACAGGATTCTTAAAAGCCTAGAATTTCTTTCTAGCACAGAAAAATAATAATAATAATAATAATAAAAATATTCAAAGAATAAAAACAGGAGGAAGGGGGAATTAACATAAGTAGCAATTACAAAAAACCCCAAATGATTGTAGAATTTAGCAGAGCCACTCTATGACATTACAAGCACACTTTCACTCGGCATTTACACTCTTACCTTCCTTTTGAATCTGTTGAATTTACAATACCAGCACCTAGTGTATCAATTAACATTTCTGCAGCACCTTCATTGTCATTTATCCTATAACGAATTAAACAGACTGTTATTTACAGAATGATAAATCTTTTGTTATATACAGCAATGAAATCTATGAAGAATAATTTTGCACTTCCTTACACAGCACAATGCAATGGACTGAAAGAATTTCCTTCCATTTTCTGGAAAACTTCCTGTTCCAGGAGGAGCTCTACACAACTGTCATGACCTAAAGCAAATGTAAGAGTTAAGCATTAAAAAAAAGGGAAAAGGTCTATTTATGGATTACATAAAAAATACGTATCTGATTTAGATTAACCAATATTTTATTGGAAAGTTTTGAAGACACACTGGTTGTATTCAACAGGGCTACATTTAGGAACTACAACTTAGGAACTTATAGCAAAAATGTAATACACAAATAAACACCTTACATTACATATTAGATGTTAATGCATTCTCCCTCAAGATACCACGTTCATCATATTGGCACACTCACTAACATGAACTGAAGGCAGACTTTGATTGTTGCTTTTGTAAGTAGTAATAAATTCTACCTCAGTACCAACAAATATATTTACGCCTCTATTTTAACTTTAATGTATTTTACCATTATAGCAGGCCCAATGCAGTGATGTATAGCCGTGATTGTCTGCTATTGCAGGTACTGCATCCACAGATGTAGCTGACTGCAGGAGAGCTCCTAGAACACCTATATGTCCACATGCAGCTGACAAGTGTATAGGGGTTCGCCCCCTACAGTCTCGTAATAAGGATTTAGCACCATGTTGAAGCAAGGCTTCCACACATTCCTCATGCCCGGTAACTGCCTGTGAGAGAAAGACAAGAAATAGAAAGTCTGCTAATATTCATGTATATAAGACAAGGTGTATAATCAAAGGATGCAAACTGCAGACAATTTCTTACATTATTAAATAATAACAAAATAAGCACAGTTGTTATTTTCATTCCTGGAAACAGCCATTCTGTTGGAAAAATAGCAATGTATTATAATACTGATGATAAAATAATTTGTTGGAATAACACTGAATGAGCTGCTAATCTCTAGGGTTCTTATCTGTCTTATCTGCCAGCGACTATAAAAAAAAAAAAAAAAAATTTGGCATGCATCACACTCTTCTTCCTCCCATTAACACTACCTCCACCCCATAACAAAAAGCTGCGCTCGGGGACCTCTCCAGTCAACACTTCACAGCAAGATAGAGAGACTCTAGAAGTCCAAAAGAATTCTGAGGGCAGAAAATAGCCTTTTGAAAGCAACTAAAAAGACAATTAAAAACTAAGAATGGCAAGATGAAAATAACAAGAAATTAATTAACACTACATATTAAGTCTGTATTTGAAATTAGTATGTATAAAACTGGAAAGGACGGAAAAGGAATATTCTCTCACCCCTCTATGTAATGCTGTCCTTCCCCACTTATCTTTGGCATCTACATTTGCTCCTTTGTTAAGGAGTGAATAAACGCAGTCGGTGTGCCCATTGAGAACTGACATCATCAGAGGAGTCCTTAGGAGAGAAAGAAATAAAAGTGTAATCTACATGGAAATTTAACAGACTAGCACTCAACTGAAATATAACAACTACTATCCTTCTGGACAACACTTAAAATTTAAATCAATGACCTTCTCTAGTACTAACTTCACTCCAAGAATGCCACTCATATTTGCTTTTTAGATTCAAGAAAAAAAGATTAATACCTCCTATAATTCCTAAGTCCTGATTAAGCTACTAGAATCCATTTTTTCAGCATCTGGACAATAAGACACATTTTAGTTTCCTCCCAACTGAACATTTTTTTACTGCCAACATTATGTTTATTGCAAAATACACAGTCACATTTCTCCTAGTTCAAATATCACCTTCCCTTAAACTAACAAATTAAAAACCACCAATGTAAAGTATTTAGCTCTTCCTTTTTATAAGATGCAATAACTTGTGAGGAACAGAGTGTATTGTTTAAACTCACTGGCCATTTCCATCTTGAATGTCCACTGCATTCTGTGGTTCTGCATTTCCTATCAATAGCCGCAAACATTCCGAGTGACCATTCGTAGCTGTAAAACATCATACAAATACAGGTTCTGCACTAATTGCCTTTGAGTATACAGCTCAAACAGAACAGTAATCTGCTCAGACTACAGGCCGTTAGCATGAGCTTTACCGTTGTGACTTAAATTCAGCCTGAGAGAGCTGGAGAGCATGAGAACCCCCTGTACAGCTTTACCATTGTAATTTGAATTAAAAACAAAAAATACGAACAGTAGAAAATTATTTTAGAAATCAGGCATTCTCAGCTGTATAGTATTAACAGTAATTGATTCCAACTGTCAATTACCACCAGGTATTTGTTTTTTACATATAAATGAGGTTTCACATATTAACCAGAATTAGAATATATGCTTATACAACACCCAGAAGAAGGAATAATTAAATACAGTAATTAGCATAATGTTTGCTTGTCATAAGGCATGGCTAAACACATACCGAGCCAATCATACAGAGATTTTGTCAGCAAATATAGCATGTGCGCAGTTATGAAGTAATAACTGAAATCACATTTAGAAAGAGGGGAAGGAAATAGAAGTAATATAATTAAAATAGAACTAATACAATGCATAGAAGTAATTAACCAAGCAGTTAAGAAAAAAAAGGAAATTTAAAAGAAACAAAAAATTGAGACATCATATTTAAAAGCAACTCATGAAAGATAAATGATTGCTTGTTGGAGGGGAAATTATCTCTGACATACAGCTGCTGTATTTAGTCCACATAAGAACAGTGACAATTCTTTAGCTGATAAATCCTAACAGAAGTTGGGTGAAGCTAAATCAAATAGAAGAATACAGCTTGTGTTCATGGACAACAAATTAAGAGGTTACAATGACGATGTTTTGTACATAATGCTCTTTTTACTGCAACATTTCTATAACACCATAACTATAAATGTCAATTTAAATAAGCTTATTTTCAAAGAGAGGAAAAAAAAAGAATATAGTATGAATGCTAGATTTTGAGAAAAGTAGGTTTATAGAAGTTTCCTAGAAGACACAGTGAGAAAATATTGCAAAGGATTGCTATTACTTTGAAAACACTAAGGAGTCGTTTAAATCCTTAGAAAAAAACAAAGTATAGTTTTCATGTCTCTTCTCAAGCTGACAAAATTCTCCAAGACTCCAGTCATTTTTAGAAGTATTTTACTGCCAAGACAGGCAACATAATTCACATATCTAAATTTGGGCCTGCAGTTTGGGCTGGGTGAAAGACAAGGAGAGAAACAGGAACATGTCACTGACATCTGCCAGCACAGCTAGCCTAGCTAGTTGAACGGACAATGCACCCTTCCAGAGAGCAGTGTGGAACGGCACTCCTTGGCCTGAATTAATTTATTGGGTTAGTATCAGTTTCTACCCACAAGTACTCTGTTACACCTTTCTCAGTGTAGCATATACCCTAAAAATCATTGTCTATTCCTAAACACTATTTCTCCGAACACTGATGATAGAGACTTCTAAACATGAAGATGATTGACTTCAAAACCCAAAATTTTAGAGGTTAGCAGTTACCATGTACCTGCAGCATGTATTGGGGTCCTCTTTACAACATAATCTTTCACCAAGATCGATGCTCCCTGATTAATGAGCACATCTACACATTCCACGTGTCCCTTAAAGGCAGCAAGGTCCAGTGGTGTCCTTCCGTTGTTATTCCTCACATCAAGGTCCAGCAGCGACTGTACCAGCACTTCCAGAGCTTGATGGTGGCCATGATAGGCCTACAAGAATAAGAAAATTCTTCAGTTTTCCCACTCTTCTTGTTTTTTTCCTTTCTTACTGGGATTACATAAATTAAACTGTAAAGACAGTATTTTTGTTTATCAAGTGAAAGACCTATTGAAGCAGCATCTAAGTAGTTACAATACAAACTAATTTAAAAAACCACCACAATTTCAGCAAGAAGGTTGGTGGGTTTTTTCCATTTTATCCTTTCAGTCAGCAACTGAAACCACTTTACAGTAAACAGTCTATCTCCAATTTTTTTAATGACCAGCATTTTGAATACTGCACATTTCATTGCTTTATGTTATCGTTACATCACCCTCAGATTATTTCAAGTGAGGAACATATGTAAACAACTAATTCCTATTAGTTTTTTAATAAAATATTTTTAAAAGAAGCAGCCAGTAAAATTTGTAAGTTAAAAGAATACATTACAAATACATACAGTTAACATAGCTGGTAAAATAGGAGGGACTTGGGCAATGAAACAGTTAAGAGATCAGAACAGATACACAAGGATAAGAGAATAATAGCATAGAGAATACTCTGTAGGTATGTCAAGATGAAAACCATCTACAGCTACGGTTTTATAACTTCCATAATAAATTTTACATGTATACTCATGGACACATAACCTCCGCCCCCAGACAAAACTCATTTCCAGGAACAATCTCTTCTACCTGCTTTCATTTACCAGTATTACAGATTACTTTTTACTTTGGCCATATATACACACATGCACACACATACACACTGTGTGAGACTTAGGCTACCTTCAGAAAGTACATTGTGGTTTTTCAATTGCTCGAAGTCCAGTGAAAAGATGAAAGCTACATACTGAGCTAGTTACTCTGTATTTTGAGTATATTTGTATAGACAGTTTAATCAGGTTCTCTACTAAACTACTCTTTGTGCAAATCTTTCTTAAAGTATTAAAGGACAAAATTCCTCATACTAAACAATGATGAGGGTAAGCAATGATGATGGTAACAAAAGAAGTCACATTATGTATAGGACAATTCTTAATTAGTATAAATTGTAACATAATTGTAACGAGAAGTTTCCAAATGAAAGTAGTTTCATGAACCAAGTCTCAAGTGAAATGCAAAAACTGCCCTGTATAGCTCATTCAGGAATATTAGTACATATTTTTTGTGTTTCATTTATTGTTATTGACCAATTTTAAAAAAATCAGAATGAATAAACCTATGTCAACAACTGTTTGCAATCAGATGAGGTATCATCACTAAAGACTGAAATACTTACAGCTAAATGCAGAGGACTTATAGGTGCTCTGTTGTCTGAATCATTCAGCATGTCAGTACCTGATGTTTCCATTAGCTTATCAAAGAGAGAAAATCAGAATGAGTGCAACAACCTCTCACCTTTGAAAACATTCAGCAATAATTGCTACAGTTTCCAGTATACAGATTGAAAAAGGAAAGAAAAATAGGAAAAACAATACAGGATTAGAGTTTCCTTAAGAATTCCAGATCTCCTTCAACCTTTTAAAGAGTTTTGAACTGCAATGACTGCAACCCCTACCCCATATTCATTTCCCAAACACTGCTGTTGAATTTTTCATAACAATGAAATAATTAAATCAGAAACGAATCTAAAATTATTATTCTTCCTGAAGCAGCCATATGAAATGATATAGATGAAATGCACACAAAAGGAAGACGAGGACACGTGAGAATAGGAAAAAACACCCCTCCACCAAACAAGTAAACATTTAGATTAGGTGAAAAGTCAGCAAGAAAACAATATGAAAAGCCAGAAGGCAGGATTGATTTCTCAGAACAAACATTCCCCAAAGAAAAGAAATGGACGCAAAAAGGCACAAGCATTGTAAAACAGGATTAAAATACCTTTGTATATACATTTCTGTTTGTTACTTTCAGATGTGTTCTAAAGTTTTAATTCTGGCTCTTTTTCAAGACCATATTTAATTTAGTACATTAGTGAAATAAAAACATGCAAAGCATTTGAAGAACACCAAATACGTTCAGATCACCGAGTTTTAATTATTGCACTTCTATATGGTCACACAAATGTTTAAGAAAAAAAAGGGTTAATAAGTAATTTTATATTTTAAAATTCTAAATTGCAAATTAATCCAAATTGTGATTGAAATTAAATACTACATTTATGCATTAAACAAATGGTTGAATAAGCAGTATTTTTAAAGTTACACGTTCCCCTTTGCTGTACAGTAATACTGTAATGGTGAGAAATATTACACACTTACAACATCTAGAGGTGTTTCGCTGGCAATCTGCAATTAAAGAGTCAGAATTCATGTTTGAATACATTTGAATATAAAAGTATCATTTGTATAAACACACTAAGTTGTATAAGACAGAGAAGTTAAAATTAGCATATCAAATAACACACATTTTTGCAAAGGGATTAATAAAAATCTACCTGAGGCTTTATCTAAAATTCCATTATGTGGACGTTACAGTAACTATATGAACTATTTTAAAAGGCACCCCTACTTTACAGGTTTTCCCTACTTTTTAACTTGCTCCTTCAGATGACATTTGTGAAATTTCTTAAGACTTCTCAGTGGGATAATCTGTGGTTATTTTATTTCAGCCCTCAGGAAAAAAATTAGCAGTGTATTCTAAGTTAAGAAACAAAACGAGTATACCACATCCTCAAACAGTTACCTCTTAATCTCAGAATGTATTATTATTAATTTAAACCAGTATCTAGCAATTTAGCTCCTCACCTTGCCCCATTTTAAGAGTAGCAAGTGCTTAAATTTTTATCCTCAGAGGGACTGAAAACCACTATTGACCTTAGAGATGAAGAACCAAGGTTGAGGAATCCCCTGGTCTCTGCATCCTACCCTGTAAGAGCAGCTGTTACAGCATTCATCTACAGTACGTTCTCTTACCAATTCAAGACATAAGCGATGACCGTAAGCAGCTGAATAGTGAACTGCATTGTATCCTTGTTTGTCTCGGATCCCTGGATTGGCATCATTTCTTAGCAAGTATTCCAGGCACCTATTTAAATTGACATACGCAATCATGTATCTAAATGTTGAATTTCAACTTTATGCTAAGCAATAAATCATTCCAATTCAATTGGAAAATAGAATACAGCACACAGGAACACTGATTTAATGTACAATATTGGTTCAGACTAGAGAACACCTAACTCCAAGTGTTTAGGTCAATCACAAAGCTTCCAAAATTTGAAAGAATCCTTCTCTGCAGACGTCTTGCATCCTCTCAATTATCTGACTTAGTTAAAACTAGTATTTCATGGCTATTTTCCTCCTAGTTAATACAACTGCAGTTACCTCTGTTAATATAAATGATGACTATTGTTGTGCATTTTTCTGTACCGGTACCACCTCCTGTACTTAATACAGAAGGAAGAGAACTAATAACTGAGTTCTTCATGGTATGTATTCAGGAGTCACACATACATACACTTCCACTACCAGACTTCTATTGATTTGGCATGCTTATATCCTACCACTCCTTTCATTACACAAAGTTATAAGGCAGAACATGATCAGCACATTTCAACCCCTGATACGCAGCCAGAAGGATGAAAAATAGGGTATTAAAGTCAGCTCCCTCTCCCTAATTTTCTGTTTTTAAGAGACTCCATGCATGTGCACTGAACAATTTCAACCAATAACTCTACTTATTCCTAATTTTATGTTGTCTATCATTTCAGCATCATTCTGCAAAGTCACCATCATGATCCTGAACTTGTTGGTGAAGCCATTTGGTTTTCTGAAGTGTAGAGCAGGTCACGATCCCTTCTCTCTGGGAATTATGAAATACTTCTCCTTTATCAGTTAAATAAAATGCATGTGAAGCTAAAAAAAAGTATTATGTCAAATCCAGCTTGGACCCCTTAGCACAGTTTATCTAAAGCTCTCAAAGATAAGTAGTGACAAACAGGCCAGTTGGATACACTGACTTCACATTTATCTCATGGAAAACGGTTTGGTAGAAAGTTAAAAGAAATTTCAACGTCTGTAGTTGTATAATATGGCTATGCTGTGATGTCATGTGAAAAACTTGCAGTAGGATATGGCAGGTTTAGATTTGAGAGGCAGGAATCCTAACATGACCTCCGACCAACACAGTTAAGAGTAGAAACTTGATCACTCAAAACCCTGGAGAACATTCAAACCTTCAAGAAATACAGGCAGAAATCCTACAAAAGCAGCCATCTCCTGAGGGAAGACAGCATGACCCTGCAACATCAGAACTCTTTGCAAGTTCTTTCAAGGAAGGGCCTGAAGTCAGCAGATGGAACAGTGAGAGTTCATCATCTGAAGGAAATCCAGTACCAGCTGTGATGAAATGGAAACACATTTCAACATGAGTAAGACAGCTGTACTGGGTCAAGGGCCCAGTAACCTCATGTGCAACAACAGCAATTTGCTGAAGACCTGATATTTGCTTTTCCAGACAAAGGCAAAAATTATCAAAACAGGTGAGTGAAGATGAAAAGGGAAAAAAGCTGCAGGAAAAACTATGGACAAGGAATCATCTAATTACAAAGTACCCTGTCTTATTACAAAGTTGAGAAGAACAGGAGCCATACCAATGTGCACTCTCACTTTCATCATTTTGTGCCCAGCATAAAGGAGAAAAGGACTTAGATAGGTAGCGAAAAAGGTCTAAATTCTCCAGGTTTAAATAACATATGTAACACAAGATATAAGTAACTTTGCAAGTTCAATGTATCTAATAAAAAGCTACCAGTAAAGCAGATTTATGATTTTAACCAACTAATTAGGGTTTTATTTGGTCAGTAAACAAATGCCTGGATTTCATTAATGGCAACTGCGCTTGCATGTTTTTGTTTGAATTGAAATGGGATGAGATTTCTGAGAACCCAAAGACAAGTCAGTCTGTTCCATCGAGTGAGAATTACTGTGCCTAGATTTTATTTGCCCAATCATCTAACTAACTTTATTAATTTTAATCAATTATTTTGTATTGCCATTCATGACTCATTAATAAATGTTAAATATCACTGGCCTGAGCTATCTAAATTTTTATACTTGTGTACTTTCTATATTTGCGTGCTCACAAAACCCACAATATACTAAATATACCACAGGAAGCAAAGTCTACTAGAAATCCTTAAGTATCCATTCTTTCCAATGCAAAATAAGTAATTATTTTTGCTGTTTCTTCTCATTCAGGAAAGAGATTAATTTTACATCTTTTGCATACTTAACTGTTCTTAACAGGCCTCTTTAAAAGGAGATTAATCAAATTTCCTGAAAGCTCAGATAAGTTAAATTTATTTCCCATTTATTTATTGGTGTACCATCTATGAAATAATTGAACATAGAAAGAGGGTGGTTTTTTCCTCCTCTAAGATCCTGATTATTTTATTTCATTCTGCAATCATGGTTCTGTCTCTAGTCTTGACAAAATGAACCTTACTGATGTTTGTTTCCGATCAGAAGCACTTGTTAAAGATTTGTTAAAGAAAGACTTCCAAACAGGAACAAACCGGAAAATAATTTTCAACAGACATCCTTGTCCCTAAAAATCTGTCTTTAAAGATGTCTGAACAAAGACTCCGAAAATGAACAGAAATATCTTTGGAATTTCTATATAGATAATTTCCTGACTACTTTTTTTTTTTCCCTCCCCGACAGGCTTTATATTCCAACTCAGTAATCATTTTTAGCTTCATTCCTATTTTGAATATGAGCTGAGCAGTACTGGTTTTCCAGCTGTTACTAATCATCTTCCTGCATCAATATAAAAAGCTTCTCCTCAGGACATTCTGCTTTGCAGCCTGTCTTCCAGAGAGCCAACTGTTAATCAGAAGGGCAATATCATGTGGATTCCGGAGACGATTCTTTGAGTTATCTCCCAAAGCTCTGCCATACTGCCATCATCATTCTTGCTCGTGCCTTTTATAAGACAGATGGCAAAACGATGTCATCTGAAGAACCATTATAGTTTGGAGCATTTCAGAGCAACTGTGAAGCTAAAATTAATCCTAGATCAACTTATAAGAGGGCAATTAAAGTAAAATTATCTCAGCAAACTCCAGCAGGGATTGAAAGTATATTTAAAAAGCAGCAGCAAATTTCATTTTGAAATTTGGCCTTACATTAAAAAAAAAGGCATGTACTTTTAAGTATTAAATGTCCATGAAGGTATTCTTTATTTATCCTTCAAAACCCAATCTGTAAGTTATATGTCACCTTGTTCCTATTACTACCTCATATTTTAAAAAGTGCTGTATTAAAATAAGATGATATGGCACTAAGCAGCATTTGTCCAGTGAAGATGTCACTGTATGCATTAGAAATGTGATGCTGCACACCAGCTTGTTTTGACCCGTGGATCTGAATGTGTGCTCATACAAGTGGCATCTTCTCAAGCCTCCTCAATATATACAATGTCTGGAGCTTAAGTAACCTCATCAATTTTGTGCCATCTATATAAGCTTTATATGTAAGCATTTAAGTCATAAATAACTATGTTAAATATAACCATTAGTGAGAAAATAAACACATACAAGAGACATTTGTGGATTTATGAAAGTTAACTGGATGCATTTCATTAATAAAAGCATAACTACTTCACAAAAATTTACACTAAAAAGAGATAGAGTTATAATGCCAAACATGAACAGTTTAATCAAACACCAAAAGGATAAAGCATCTTATATTGAAATGTCAAGTTAACTTTTATTCTACAGGCCTACTTCTACCCTGCAGGCCTTCTGTAACTCAGTCTAGTTAAACAGTGTATTTCTGACTAACTACAGATTTTTGGGCAACATTAAGACCTACAAAACACACCATTCTTTATCAGAAATTGATTTTAAAGTAAAATGACCCCACTGCTCACAACTGTTATAATAATCCCCCCAAATGATATTTACTCAACAACTACACAGCAGGTGCAATTAAAAACTATTCCAAATGAATTCTGAATTAGAACATCTGCGTTATAAGACATTACCAAAAAATTACAATGCACTTGACTATTGCTCGTTTTTCTCAGGAAATTCGTTGCATAAAATATTTTAGATACAATGAACAATCCACTGTCAAGTTTAATCTTTAAGAATATGAAAAATGCATTTGGCAAATGTGAAGGCAGAACATACATGAAATTCACAGCTCAGATGTTTCTAAGGAGAAAGGCTTTAGTATAAAGCATGCAACTTACTTTCCATCTGTGTCTGATGCAGCTGCATAGTGCAGAGGTGTACAACCCCTCTCATCAAGGTCATTCACACTAGCTCCAGAGCCCACAAGGGCAAACAGGCACTGATAATTACAATTGGCAGCAGCATAATGGAGTGGAGTTCTTTAGTACACATTTAAATAAAAAGTACAATGGTAAATAACAGCAAAATAATATAGAGACAGAAAAAGCAAAATAAAATTAAACTTAAATCCTCCTTACATTTTTTTAACAAGTATTTGTGGTGAAGAATGCATCACTACAATATTAAAAAATGGGGCCATTTTCTAGGGGTCATTTAATAACACAGAACAGTATCTAGGGAATCTATTTGTCAGTCACAATATGCATAAACTTTGTATTAAGGGAAGCTTTATATTAATCTTCTTGTGCAAACATATAGAGGAAAATCAAGCTTACATTAGAAATACTATTTTTAGTTAAGTAATTTCAAGCCACATGGAAAAATATGGACAAATCTGAAAACTGCACAGCAACTAAAGGTCAAAATAAAATACAACTAAGAACTAGATGTTTTCAACAAACAGATCAGAATTTTGTCTAGGAGAGGCAAGCATTATTTATTTAACTATACTAACAAAACAGAGGCATTGTTAAAGAAAACTTTTAAAAATATACCATGTCTTCTTATAACAAAACTGTGAAATATTAGTGTTGATATACAATTTCAGAGGATATTTATTCCAACTTCAAATACATAAACACTTCTCTAAATAAACCAGTTCAGATAAAATTTCAAAAGCACCAAGATGACTCAGAATGCCATTTTCTATTTTTAAAAAGAGAATGCTACTATAAATATCTCAATTTTGAGAAGACAGTCAGGCACTTTAAAGTGTCCTACCTCTTCCCTCTCCTTAAAAATGACTTTTTTCCCCATTTCTCTCCATGTTAAACTATTTTAATCTTTTCCCTCCCCTGAAATAATTGCTCTATATAACATGCATGTTAAACCAAAACCCAAACCAACAAAAACCCCCAACTTTCAATGACAGAAGTTGTGACAGATAGTTATTCCATTCTCATGCAAAAATGGAAGCAAAATACAACTTTGCATCCATAACATTCTCCTCAAGTCCTTCTCCTGCTGTTCACATCCTGGAAAATCATTATTTTCCATGATGTGATGTGAGATTTTACACAAGTACTGATCATGCCATCTAAACTTAAATAATCCTCTACTAAAAATAGAAATTAATGTCATTCCAAAAGAGTTCAGAGCACAAACAAGGAAACAGAAAGGGATGAATATAATGAAAGGAAAAAGGTGAAGCAGTTATAATAAAATAATGGATTTTTAAATAAAAAAGCTTAGATATAGCAACAGATTTATTGGTTTGACTAATACATTATTTGGGAAACATCACTAATGTCCTTGTATGAGAGCAAGTTAAGCTCATTAGATCTATGTTATAAGCTAAAAAGATTCATTAATTAAAAAAATCACAGTTGAATACGGAAGTCTTTAAAAACAAGACTAAAGACCTACTTAACAAACACAACAAACAAAATGTTTGCAACTGTCAATAACATATAAAGAAGCATAGTTTACTATGTATTTACATTGCATCTTAAAAACATTTAATCTGGCACACACAGACTTGCCCACATAGTGACGATAAAACTTTTAACAGTACTTTACAAAATAGAAGTCTGGAATGCCTTACCTTCCAAATCTGTCCTTTTTGTTGAAGTCTGCACCAGTATTTAGCAGAAGATTTAGGCACTCCAAATTCCTATTAAATGAATTCAATAATACTTGTGATTGCAAATTTTATTTCCTTAATACTGGCCTCTGCAAATATCAGAGCCGCTACACATATACATCTCATATTATTTTTAATGGAACTGAACTGTCATATGAAAAATTGGATATATATTTTTGTATGTAAAATAGATTTCATAATTGCAGGAGCAAATCAAGAAAGAATATAAATTTCAACTCCATATTTAGAAATTTTGTTGATATTAAATGCCATGCATAAAGCACATAAACATTAACCTAATTCAATAGAAATTTCAATTCTTTAAAGCAAGCAAACAGTAACACTTGCATGTCACATGCTTTTTGCTACCAGGATTCCAACACAGAGGCAATTTTTTTCTGTTCATTTTTTAAGGCAAAATATAAGTTGCAAAATAAATATTTTACTTTCTAGTGTAATTCATTTTCAATACAATATGACCATCATAATAGATGTGGAATACTGCTTATTGTTTAAACACTATCTTAGAAACTTTCCTAAACTGGAGATGAATGAGGGAATGTATCACAAATTATGTGTTTTTATATGAAAAGATAGCATTTTAACCTTAATAATTTGCAACAAGAATGTATCTATCAAGTATCTTTTGACTTAGAATGATTACTTAACGGTATTACTTAACATTGAAACAGAAAAATGAAAGTATCAGTATAATGGAGTTCTTGTGTCCCACAAAGTGTATCATGAAATTTATTACCCAATTCTTCCAGGCAACTTTGAGTAGCTGCTATAGAAAACCTACAATACAATAACAATAATCAATATGGATCACAACTCAAGTGATGAGCAAGTAGTTCTGATTGCTTCATCCACCTAAATTCTGGAATTTAATGATGGCTTTTAATTTAGTTAGATTGATCTTTTGTTTATGGATTTGGAAAAAACATATTTCCCAAAGTTGCTTGTTCTCTACCTCATGTCCTACAGTGATCTTAGCTGGTCATGCCATCCTTGAATGCTGTAAATGCTAAGAATATCACCATCAATGGGAATTTAAAATAAAATTCAGTTCATCCCCAAGCAGAAACCTAAGGTAAGGCTACTGATACTTGGACACTGTACTCCAATTACTACTTATTGAGCTGAATAATTAATTTCTTTTTATTTGTAGATACAATCCATCTTGAAATTATTTTCATGTTTACATAAATTCCAAGGGGAGAGGGCAGGAAAAGCACAGAGAGGAAATAATAAAAAAAGAAATGATCAGCAATTGAAAAAAGAACACTAAATATGAAAGCATGAATGCTTTTTTACATACCCTCCAGCTGCAGCTGCATGAAGACAAGTCCTGCCAAAGTCATCTGGTGTGTCAATGTCAAAACCTACAATAAGGATTTTGTAAAATCATTATGTAACACGACCTTACACAAAACTGAGCTCATCTACTCTTAAGAGAAATGTTTGCTGAGCAAACTGAACAGCTATTTGCAAAAAGCACTTAAGCACTGAATATTCACTTGCTTTGAAAAACATCCTTGCTATTTGTAATATTTTGAAAAACAAGTGTTCCATTAAAACTGAAAGGGATAAGGTAAAAGACAATTAGATGCCCTCAGGCAAGAGGCTATATTCTTTGCTATATATTTGCCCGCCAATGTTTCTTTGTAATTTAGTATTGAATATCAAATGTATGAAGGTAACTGGAAAATTTAAGAATATGCTAGAATTTATAAGGGTTATGCAGAGATTTTTTTTTTTTTTTGATAAAGAGGGGGATGTCAGCATCACTAAATCCAAAAGCTTCTTAAATTTCATCCTTGAGTTCAGTCCCACAGAAAGAACTCTGTTAAGCTGGAGTGAAGGCTGGAAATAGAAATTACTTACACAGGAGCCCTTTAAAGAACACTGTAGTTTTCTCTTCCCAAAATGTGTAAACTATGGAACTTCAAATCTGAGATCACAAACTTTAACTGTGCAATTCCACATCTAACCATATACTCTGACATGAAGATCACTATTTAAATCAAGTTTCAAAGTTAAATTTTTGATGTGAGAAAACTACTATATCCTCTTAAGAGTCTTACTCATGTGTAACAAATCTTGCTCATTAAATCTTCAGTACTTTTGCCTGGGAATGCAATTTTTTTTTCCTTCCTTTTTAAGAACCATTCAACAATGATAAATAGTGCACAACACAGGATGCGCTATTTAAGAGTACTACTGTTTTCCTACTCCATATCCCGCAAAACACAGGTTTTTGGATGTACCACTACGTTCTTCTCCCATTTAAATAGGTAGTAATACACAGCAAACAAGACATTTTATCAATCTGATGTGAAAATGCCTTTCCACAACCCCAGGTTGCTTGTTTAACACCACTAACTACTTAAATGCCATTCAGTACTGGGGCAAGGCAGAGATGATTTTTTTTTTTTTTTTTAAGGTCTGCACATGAATATTAATGAATTAAAAAATCAGAAATTCTTAATTTACATAAATGACTCTTCCCAAACCCAAAAGGCACATAGTCTGCAGATACTGATTCCCACACCAAGAGCATGTACTAACATAGCTAATAAGCTGTTAGCAGTATCTAGTCTTTTCAGTCTGAAGGCTGAATATAGTCTTCAAGTCCTTATCTGCTCCAGGCTAGATTTACATTCGAGTTTGCTCAACTCATGTAAAAGTCACAGAAACCACTTGCAAGTCTTCCGTAGGGATTCCTTTACCAGACTGAATCTCCAATAAGGGCATAGCCAGCACAGCACCATGTGCAGAAAGGAGAAAGAGCCAGAGTATTCCTCATTTTGAATGCATCCAACTGAAATACAGTCAACTATAGGACAGTTCTTTTCTGGAGCAAAACCTTGAAAGCTTGTCCATGACAGGACAGTGAATAAAAAGCCTTACTGCTGGTAGCTTTAGTTATACTCCTTTAGTTCTTCTCCCAGGCTTCCCTAGCAGACAATACAGAGCTGAGGAAACAACTTCTTATTCTTCCCCAACTCTCTGCCATCCACTTTTGTTTTTTCAAAAAACATGAAAGTGCCTTCAGATTAATGTAGGACCATTTAGTTTCTTCTTCTTCTGTTCCTGAAGCTTCCACAACCCTTCAGACAAATCTACTTTCTCAGAACTGCAATGCTTCAAAGAGGTCAGAATTCACAACAGACCAGACTCTGGACAAGGGAAGTAATAACCTTACAACCCTCCACAACTTCAGGGAGGAATCAAACAATGAAAGCAAAGTTCAGTTTGGGTTGCATTTAAATAACAGTAAATCACCAAAGCAACAGTTTCTTAATGTAGCAGTCCACAGAGTCTCCAGAGCTATTAGGGGACCACTTCAGGAACAGACAGGATCCGTATTAAGCTAAAGACATCATGGAAGGGACATGAAGGATTATCCATGAACTCATTAAATAGAATGTCAGTCTTTCCCCTTGAAGCTGCATTATGGCCTGAACCAATCATCCCACCCCTATGGACAACTGAACATACACAGACCCAACATTTAAAAAGTTATAGATGCATTATTTCAATTTGGATTATTATTTTTTTTTAAATTACTTCTGTAAAAGTTTGCATTCACTTTATCTATGGACTGTCCATTAAAAATAACAAGCACTGGCCCCAAGCTACTAGTAAACTATAAAGATTTTTATGCATTACTAAATTAAGCCTTAATTAAAAGCTATTCTATGGAATAAAAAGTGAAGTACAAAGCAGTCAGAAGATTTTTAAAGAGTATCCTACCTGATGAGAGGAGTTTTCTGCAGCAGTCTGAAAATCCACTTAATGCTGCCAAATGGAGAGGAAACATCCCATGTATACCCCGCCTAAGATACACCATAATCAGGTATCACAGTTTCATTACAATTAACATAAAACAAACATGATTGTGTGCCATAGTGCACGTGCAAGGTGGGTTCAACAAAACACCTAATTAGAATACTGAGCCTTAGGAAAACTTCACATATTAAATGCTTTCTTACAAGACAGCGGGAAGCATTAAGTCAGTGCAACATCCTATTATAACTTTCAGAGCTTTTACTTCAAATACGTTAGAAGAAAACCTATTTCTCTTTCTTTTTGTACAAATTACAATGTACCAAGTAGCAACTTTAACCTATTTCAAGTTGAAGACAATATTAAAAAATACTAGTCTTGTTATCATAATAAATACATTTCTAAATTCTTTCAGCTTGCATTCATGTCGGTAAAGTTACCTACTTTGCAGTGTCAGCACCACTCGTAATCAGAGTGTTGATTAATAGCTCATGACCATATCTAGCTGCTATGTGCAAAGGAGTATTTCCATTCTTATCTTCACAGTCTATTTCAGCTCCTATAACAAAAAGCAATTACTAAGTAGGATTATATGTAGGCATACAGATACTTTTGTTAGAAGAATAGCACTGATGATAATTTAAACATCAATAATTAACTGTCCACAAATGACTACTTTGGATTTAAACTCTGTACAGCTTTCAGAGGTATTTAGCATTAACAATAAGGAGAACAGAGAGAAATTTTTTATTATGTAACCATATGGGACACGCCTTCTGCAACTTGGGTAATGGAAGAGAAATCAATAGATTTTCCTGCATTCTGAAAAATAATCAGTTCTTCAGTGTAGCTTACAAAACTTTAGAACCAGATATGCTCCACCATTAACTGAGCTACTACTACTTTAGGTATAAAAAAAAATTCAGCACACTTATCAATACAGGAGTAGGAAAATATACATAATACTGGAAAGCTGTTGACAAAACTACTCCCTCCCCTTTTTTACCATTCTGAATGATGGTTTGAGATCTTGAAAATCTACCATGGATTGCTGTCATGTGCAAAGGTGTTTTCCCATCTTTACTCTGGAAAAGAAAAAAATCCCAGTGTTTACTTATAGCCAGTAACACTAATCCACCAGAACTGACAAAAAATAAAGGACATTATTTTACTTTATTCTCTCCGCTCTACTTCCTCCTTTAAATTGTTTCTATGCACTTTTGCAAGAGGCATGCTGTCAGTGACAAGTCAGCATGACATGGCAAGCTTTTCAAAAGAGCTGCCCTTAATCACTCTTCCAGCTGTGACAACTCAGTGATGCCCGCTCACTCACTCACAGTTATGCCTTTAGGAAAATCACTCTCAAGAGGATGATGACAGCACACAACTTTAACAACAAGCCTTCATCCAACTCTTCCCCTGCCCAAGTCTAAACCTAAACAATGCTTCTTTAAATTAAGTTTGCTTCTTGAAAGAAAATATCTGTATTTACTATAGTTGTTTACACATTATATTAGAAGACATTACATTAAAAAGCTCATGTGTTTCATGGAAATTTCCATAAAGTGATATTTGTAAGCAATTTATCATAAAGCACAAGTAATCCTAGGGTAGAACTATTCAACTATACTTGGTGTTATACATTTGACACACACACCAAGTACGCAAACTTAATCATTCACCAGTAAAGATGTCCTTCAAGTAGGCCAACAGTAATGCATAAGAGAATTTCAATTTTTAACAGCACTATGTCAAGGCACTTATAAAATATTTTTTTCTGTCATTATTACTTTATGATGATTTTTATTCCCCCTGTACTTTATCATAGGTAATGGGAAAGCTTTACAGCAGAAAAAAGTTCCTACAAATGCACACAAAAAATTGCAAACAACACTCGCAGAAAATAAAAGCCTTTTGGATGTACATGCATACCACATCTTTAAATATTAAACACCATCTTTGAAGAACAGGAATTGTTCACAAAATGCTAAATTAAAAAAGAGGAAGATGGTAGGGGGAACATGATATGAACATATGCACTGAAATATCACAAACTGCTGTTATGTGCAAGTGTCTGCCGATCTTTATTCTTCCTTTGGAACTAAACAGCAAAGCTTCTATGGATGTGTTACTGAAAGTCTGCTAGAGACCCTTTTAGACAGAGTTGGATGTGGAATTTTTAGTTGTGTCACTGCACAAAGCAGCATACACCACTTAGAACAATGCAATTATGGGAAACATTGTCTTCTCATACCTAGACTGAAAGAAATAAAACACTTGATAATGACAGCCAAGTTAATCTCCAAATGTTTCAGCTGGTAATTTTGTTGACCATAACCAATCCAAAAGACACATCCACATATCCATAGCAATGCAAAGAAATACAGAAAATTGAGTTGAAATCCACTTGAGGAATTGAACAATTCTGTCATTGGAGGCCTTAAGAAAAGGCCAAATAAACACATCATAAGCAACAACTTCCCCAAACAATCTCAATGTCTATCTTTCATCTTTCTCCCCACAGTTTAGTTCTACTTTATCCAGCTATTAATCACAGTATCATAGAACTGTATAGGTGGAAAAGACCTTGGGGATCATCCAGTCCAATCATCAATCCAACATTAGCAGTTCCCAACTACACCATATCCCTCAGCACTAAGTCAACCCTACTTTTAAACACCTCCAGGGATGGGGACTCCACCACCTCCCTGGGCAGCCCATTCCAACACCCAACACCACATTCTGTAAAGAAATGCTTCCTAATACCTAGTCTAATACTCTGTGTCCAATTATTTTCTTCTTTTAAAACAACTGTTACACACCTGGTGCCTCCCTCACTTATCTCCTCCTTTAAACAATTAATTTAAAGAAAAATGATCATGTAAAATCATTCAGTTGGATGAGTGACCAAAAACTGCCTTGGTAACCAACATTCTAAATTTTAAAAGGGGAAACTTTGAGAATGTAAGAAAATAAGTTAGTGAAGTAACAGACAAAAGAATTTAAGGGTTCAGATAAAGAAGCCTGCAACCTCACTGGCTCAAGATACGCTAAATCTGTATCTTAAAGGAAGTCTAATGAAGAGTAACAAGATGAAGCAGAAAAAATGTAGATCTAAGTCTCACTAAGCACGTTAAAAAAATACCTTACAAGGACACAGGAGTAACTTAAGGTGACAGTATCAGAAACTAAGGAACATGGTGGTCAAGTGAGAACCCTCACAAGACAACTTGAGTAAGATCTTGCAAAGGATAGCAAAATAAGCTACAAAATCATTTCCAGTCGTAAATAGAAAGCCACAGTACAATCAACAACAGATTTTCAGATTTACTCTGCTTAAATTTACTTAAAAATGCACTTGATGTAGATTTCTAAGACAATGGATTTGATTATCCGCAGTGCCTCTCTCTAGTCTAAGAGTCTCAGGTTCCTTTGCAACCCAGGAGTAACGTAACATGCAATTGTGTATCAACATATAAACACAGAACATGTACAAAATTAAATGAAGGTGATAATTTCCATGTTGAAACTGAACTGCTAGCTATAGGATTGCATTCAGAATTCCCTTCTTAGACATTGTCACTAGGGAAGGATATACAGAAACAGAACCAGTATCCAGAGAGTTCTTCAAACAATGAACAGAAAAAGCTCTATTTAACAAAGTACTGTTCCCCAAGATGCCAGGAAACAAGGAGTATCTTCAGAACTTTTGATTCACTTTCCTTTTTTTATGCCTTTAAGGTCTTCTATCTAAATATTAAGTACAGCTGTCTGATTTTACAAGATCAGATAAGATCAGAGCACATGACAGAATAGCTATGGGCTAACAATAATTTCTGGTCTTCACTGAAACTCAATCAAGTGTGGTAATAGGAGAGAAATCACCCAGATCTCCTCTATTACTAGAGAAAACATTTCTGTGAAATACTTAAGATCATATGAAGTTTTTACGAACAGTAATTGCTATTAGACAGAAAGAATTAACACACAGTACAAGGTGTTCTATCATGTGATTACTTGGATATTAACTGTACTCAGACTACTGAGTTTTACTGAGGGTCAGGGGGAATGTGGGTCTATCATGTTCCAGCATTCCTCCAAAGTGAAATCTGCCCCTAGCAATAATTCTTATGTTCTAGTATCACCAATGGCAGTAAAATACTTTTGCTATTTAGGTCACTGAATTTTCAAGCAGCAAAGGAGCCCATAAAACAATCAATACTGTCCCATTACGTACTCATTTCAACATGTTCTTCCATGCACGGAAATCCTGAATAGTGAGGAGAGTGTGCTGCAGTAAGGAGCAATACTTAACAGTATTCACTCACTGTTCTACAGTACTATAGGGGCAGTGACAAGGCTACAAAAACAAGTATAAAATGATGTCCTTTGCCTACAGAGGTCATAAAAAGCATATTCCATTTTTCCTGCTACATATTCCCTTCTTGAGATGAGGCCAGCATCCACAGATATGCATAAGCCTTAACAGTATTTCTCTTTTGCTCTTCCCACTCGGTCACCCTCAGCAGAAAGTGCTCTAATAGTACCATCTAGTACTATTAGATATCTAGACAACCATCCATACCCACTCTGTTACCTCCAAAACCACAGAAACAGTTGCATATGGGAGGGAACTACTGAATCAGATTACACAATCAATATAATTCTGATGAAAAATAAATTCTAAGAACTGCTTTGAACTTCAGCCTCAGGATTTGGAAACTGAACAAGCTTGGTCCAATAAATACTTAGTAGGAATGCTCTAAAAGCATTCCATTTTAGCTCTACAAATTATTCTTAGCTACACATCATACTCTAATGCAATTTCCCTTTGCTGTTTTTTAGGGATTGTTCTTCTGATTAAATCCAATTTTTATCCTTATAGGTCTTTCCAGGGAAGCAGAAGTTGACTTGGAAACGATTTTCTTTTGTCTCAGGTCTTTCATTTTTCAAAGCGCAAGTGGTAGGTTTTCATATAAAAAATAAGGCTGTTCACACCTTCAAGTGCAATTTCACAGTCCAAATTCAGGCATACTGGTATAAATCCATAGAAATGCTATTAACAGAATTACAATAGAGACACATGTTGGTATGGCAACAGGAAAAACGTTGTTTGCAAGCTGTAATTGCTTAAAATCCCTACACAACCCTACTTAACTTTGCACTGAACAGTTTTGATACTTACCAAATCAACACATTTTAATTACAGCCAACCTATAGCAAAAGCTACTAACCCTTTCCACTGTAAAGACATTTTCTTCTGAAACAGCCTAACTTCAGCAGCCACATCTTTACTGAGCTCTTAGACTTCAGCTGAAATTCCCAACTCTGATACATTTCAGGTTGCATTTCCCAGACTCATCACTATCATATTTCAGAAAAAATAATTCTGTTATTTCAGAGCAAATTTAAGAGAAAACCTGAGTTTACCCATACTAGATATTCTAAGAATTTTTTACTTTTAAAGTTACAGAAATGAACAAATTTATACTTTGGATTCCATAATTTAAAACTGAATGGGAAGGAAGGTAACAATACATCTCTCTGACATTAAAACATCTTTTGTCACCTCTGAACAAAAGTTCACCCACGTTATAAACTTGAAAGAATTCAGGAACTTTGCCAGTCACTAAAGATACTAGACATTCTTTGCAAAAATTCTAAGGTTACTGTACCATGTTTGTGTGGTGGGGTTTTTGGTAGTAGGGGGTGGGGCTACAGCAGTGGCCCCTGTGAGAAGTTTCTCAAAAGCTCTCCTGGCTCCAAGTCAGACCTGCCTCTGGCCAAGGCCAAGCCAATTAGCAACAGCAGCTGCACCTCTGTGATAATAGGGTGAGGGGGAAGGTGTTTTTAAGATGTGGTAATGCTTCTCAGTGTCCCACTCTGTTACGTGTTGTTGTTAGTGTCTGAATTAGTGATGTTCTTTTCCTTCCCCTAACAAGTCTCTGTCTTTTGCCCATGACCATAATGGGTGAGTCATCCTTCCCTGTCCTTATCTCAATTCCTGAGCATTTTGCTTTATTTTCTCATTCCCATTCCTGAGGGGTAAAGAGTGAACGTGCAGCTGCATGGTGCTCAGTTGCCCTCTGGGCTCAAACCATGACAGTTACTTAGTGTTATAACTGAATAAATGTAGTCAGTATCTAAGTTTATACCATATGTAAAACAAAGAGTCATATTTTAAGATCAAACATAGAGATTATCATAATATTTATCAGTGTTTAATTATCCTAATAAAATGTAGGAAGTTTTAAATTTTCATTCCTAATCTACAAATAAGGTGTATTTGAAAACAAATAGCTAAAAACCCTCAACCACCATTACTTGCTGAACATCTTCTGAAATTCCCTTCCCCCCTTTTCTTCTACATCAGAAATATGCACAAAGTCATGAACCTTGAAACTCAACATATAGGAATACAGTAATTCTTTGCTTGGTAATATTTATGTTTCTCTTGTTCTTATTTGTGTAAGTAACATAAGTACATAATCATCAGTGTATTTAACATTGTGGGATTATTTTTATGACAGAACATACATTATTGAGAAATGATGTTTCAAGAATGTAGTAAATAAGTCAGCCCTGTAAGGCTAAACCCTCAGTCATATGGGACATTATGCAAAGCAGAAAGATAGCAACAAAAGTAAACGGACTGAGACCTGTGTATTTTAGGACAAGTTTGCAATAAACCCTGGTAGCACAGCTTCTTGCTTCTCCAGGGTACTCTGGTGATGAATTTTTCCACAGCTGAGTTTAAGTATATTTAAAAGTGAACAGTAACAACTACGATTTTTCCACATCAAATAGCTTAATTGTAGTGGGCTACGGATTTTGTAGTAAGAATAGATACAAAATAGGATTTTAGAATTAGTTAGCTGAAAATCAGAGTGAATCTCTTACATGAAGTGAGCCACAAACCCCACAGCTTTTAACAGAAATATTAGCTATTCTAACATTCACTTCTTATCCAGATTGTGCTGAAATCCAGGCATAACTATTAAACAGATTGATTTATTTATTTAAAGGAACAAAAGGATAGATAATACTCTTCCTACCACATGTGGGAAACAGTACAGGCAATTAGATATTTTCTAAGAGGAACACTTGGACTCTTCATTCCACATACCATTTCCCACTTCCCAGTCTGAAATTCGTCAAGACACCAGATACTGCCACTGAATGTTTCTGAATACAGTTAAGTTTTCATTACTAGAGTAAAAATCAGCTTAATGCAAAACACAAGGTCTCATCTCTCTCACATATCAACTCTTTACCCTACATACTAGAGAAGATAATAAAAGATATAGGTATTGTCTTTATACTTGTGTGGATTAGAAATTCTGCCTACACTAAAACTGGATTCTAAGGAATATTCTGCAGTCAAAGACTTGTAACCAAGTAGAGAGGTAAGACATATGCTAACTCTGCTCACAAAGTTTTGCTGAATTAAAAAACCAGCCGTTTAAAACCTTCCATTGGTCTAATATACTTACCTTTGTATTTTTAATATACCCTTCACAACTCTACCTTATTAATTAGACTTTAGGATCTTGCACTATCAGCTCTTTAACTGCTCCAGCAATTAGCCTGTTCATAAACATTTCTCTGAAATACCCTTGATTTCGTTAATACTACTTATTTATAAGAAAAACATGTTATTTTGCATTTTTCCATATGATTTGCTCTCACTCACATGGACAGACTAGGAAAGACAGATTACATGGATTTCTGATATTTAAGTATAATCAAGATTGACCAGACAGTATTGTCATCTTTCTTCTTTATCCTTCTGGACTATTTACTACATCCCATTGAGGTTTTCAGATTAAGTTCCTTGAAGCAACATACTGGTTCATTTTTTCTATAGTACTTTTCATAGAAGTATTCCATCAACCAGGGGGAACTTCTAAATGTTACTGTAACAATGATTTTGAAAAATTACCTGATAAAAAGACATACTGCATTTTTAAGAGCGAATGGATGGCTTTGTATTCACCTACCTTCATATTTACATCTGCTCCGTTACAGACCAAAAGCTCTAAACACAGTGCTCCATGTGTTGATGCAGCAGCAAAGTGCAAAGGTGTAAAACCCTTCTCATTCATTTGATTTACATTAGCACCGCAGTCTATGAGTTCATTCACTACAACATCTTGTCCGTTGTAGCAAGCTACATGGAGAGGAGTATTTCCATAGGCATTTGGTTCGTTCATCTATCAGAGAAAAAAAATCCCAAGGTTAGCAGGAAAAAACCTGTACTGCTGCAGCACTTAATTATGACAATGAAAAAACTCCTGTCATGAGACAAATCCTCCATTATGTTTTGGAACTCTCCAAAATGAGAAATGAAAAGGAAGTTCTGGATGTAGTAATTTGACTGAGAATTGTGTACCAGGGAAGAGCATGATGGCTTTACAAGTGAGCCAGCCTCCTCCAACTGTCTCCATACCAGTTTCCTGTAAGCAGTATGCAACTTGACAGAACATGCATATGGAAAAAAAGTCAACGGTGGCAATTTGCACAGACACTACAGACTAAGCACAGGATGGACCTCTATCGTTTTTCAACAGCATTTGTGGGTTTCCATTAAAAACGGAGGCCAAAGTGACTTTTTTTCCAGGAGGGTGGGTGTGTGCAGGCACGTGTGTGTGTGCGTGTGTGTATACAGAAGTAGAATTTGTTGCTATGCACAACATGAATTCTGATCTACTTCTCAAGACAGAACTTTGGCAACATCCTCCAGTCTTGTAAGACTAAAATGTGATGCACAATGAAGATTTTTTACAGTTTCACGGCTTGCTGTTAACACACTTTCTACATACACATACTGTACAGCCTTTTAATTTATTTTGTATTTCAATATTAATATGGCCTTCCTTAGTATCAAAGTTTCTCAAAATTTTTAGTATATCCCCAAACATACAGGGTTTGAGAAAGTCAGTCTATATTTTACAAATAACTGAAGCAAATTTCCTGCAGTTTAAAAAGGATTGTGTAGCAAAGCTAGGAACGGAATTCCTATTTCCTGAGTTCCAGTCCAATGAACAAAACATCTACTAAATACAAATTTATTTCCAAATAATTATGCAAAATCTGCAAAACTCTTAAGTTACTTGAGGGAATGAGGTTTTTTTAACCAAAAAAAAAAAAAAGCAAGCATGTGAATGTGAAGTTTTGGAAATATTATTTTCACTATATCCCAACTTACCCATAAATAAAAAGTGTGCTACAATATTAACAAGAGCATTTCAAACAAACAAAAAAAAGTATCACTTCGTTTTATTCCTACTTACATCAACTCCCAGATCTAGAAGATATTTGACTACACTGATCATCCCACTAGATGCTGCAGCATGTAAGGGTGTATATGATTTCTTGTCTTTGCATGTCACTTCAGCTCCATGGGCCACAAGTAATTTCACAACTTCAATATGACCTGAAAGAATTAAAAAGAATAAAGCTGCATTTTATATTAATGAGCACAAGTTTACAAAATTAATCATTGTACCATTGTTTATAACACAAACAAGACATTATTCATCTGGACCTAATCTGGCAAATAAATAATTGTTCTTGTATTCTAATTGTATCCTGAACTATAAAAGCAACATAAAATATTAATCTCTGAAAGTGAGTATTTCAACACACCCCCTCCAATAATCATAATTTTTATACCACAAAAATAAACTTGTATGTTAAAAAAATAATTTTGTCTTCTGCTTACACAGAAGGATTTTTTGGGAAGATGTGAGAACTATAGAGGTGAAATAACTCTAAGTACTAAACATTTACTGCAAATTTCTGTTAACAACTTGAGAGAGAATGTGACTATCAAGTCTGACACCTTCACCTCAACTGCAAACATGCCTAGTAAGGTTTTCAAGGCCTTCAACATGAATTTTGAAAAAATTACACAAACATGAAAATAAGAAAATATTCTATTTTTAAGTAAATATATATACCCCCCAAAACCAACTGCCTTTACTTGCAAAGCCTTTAAAATGTTGACCCAAATCATACAGGATTTAGCAAATTTCTATTTTCAAAACTGACTCAGGCCTCTGAGGAACCATAGCCTTCTGAAAGCACCAACTATTATTCTAAGTCACTGGGAGGAGGGCAAGAGTCAAGTGGTTTCGTGGGGAAGGGATGACCTGGGAGAAGTTCCAGGTAGGAGGGTGGAAAAGGGAAGGGAGCCCACCCTGAAGCAGCAGGCAGTCATTCTCACTGCCAGCTTTGTGGCTGGGCCAGGGGCCCCAACACCACATTGCTGCTGCAAAGGGCAACCAGCTTTCACCTTCACCGTGCTCACATGCTCCCCCCACTAGCTTGCACGTACATAGTTGTGACACTGCATGCTAAGAGAAAAGCTATGAAAATGGGGCAGTCAAAAATGGTCATTCTTGCTCAGTTGTTAATTTAACTGCCAAACAAGCCAATCACCGAAAACACACAGATAATCATGACAAAGTCTACAGAGTGAAGGAGCACACTTGAGTTAAACAGACATTTAGTGCCTTACCTTTCTAAGTGACTCATACAAACAGATGTAAGATTCTTTGTTTTACCTTTCCAGTGACACCCTTACCTTAGTTAGAAAAGTGGTGAGGGACACACTGAATACTTACGCTTATCCAGTCAGACATCTAAGCAAAAAGTATCATATCCCAGCATAAGAAGTGAGGGTCTTTGCTTTTTTCAATGACGAAGAGAATTTGCAAAAGTTTGACTAAGAAATGTCTACCCAAAGGAGTACAGAAAAAGCTACTTCGATAAACATTCAGTCACCATGATACCTACTTTACGCTGCATGCCCAACAACATACAAAATGACATTTCATCTAGTTATACCGATCAGAAACACCAAGTTTACCAGTGCAATACGAAGTGCTGAAACATTTCACTTCTGAATTACTTCAATATTGTAGGAAAGAAGAGAAAGAGAAATGTAAACATGATACTCATCTTCTGACCCAAATATTAACAGGGACAAGAATGAAAACAAGCCCTATATGAGAGACAGAAGTACAGAAGATATGGAAAGCAGTGAAAGGGAGACACTGAACAGAACAGTGGCAGAAAAGATTTAAAGAGAAGAAAAAAACCCTGACCTGCATTGAAAACGCAAGCAGCAATCAGTGGAAGACACTCAAACAGAAGAGCAAGGTACTTGAAGTGGGAAGCGCTGAGTAGACATCCCGATACACTAATGAGGGCGACGCTAGCATGCAAGAATGAAAGTCCATTTTAGTCGCAGCATTGCAGCTAGACAGCAATGGAGCCGGGTGAAAAGCAGGAAGGAAGGGAAACAATGGATATAACCCTAGAAAGTTATTTTTAGTAGAGTGACGAAAAACGTAACTTCTTTAATATTCTATGGTCAGTTTTATATGGTGGCAAAGCTTTAAGACTGTCTTCAAACAACTGAAGCAGTGTCAAATGGCCCTAAATTGTGAGAACGTCAGTTTTTTTTCCTTGTTTGAAGACTTTCAAAAGCTTTTTCTACTCTATTGTCTGCAAGGATATTTAGATTGATCAATGTCAGATAAATTACATTTTTCCCACCCAAACACTGTTCATTAACAGAGTTTCCTATTAATAGCCTATGAAATAGCGCTGACTAAAACTGGAATAAATGAGTTTATCTGAAAAATAGAAGACTGACTTAGGTGAGCAAAAGCCAGAAAACATGTCTGTTTTCTCACTGATGCTCATCAAATCTCTGCCATCTCATGCACAAGTTTCATTCCACAAAATTTTGCAAATAATCACCTTGAATAAGGTGGTTGGACAGCCTATCACAGACACTACTTTGCATATGTAAGTAGATTACCAAATACTAATACAAAAAGTCATAAAGAACATTGAATCAATAATGAAGATTTTTTTTTTACTTCTCAGTTTCAAGTACTGGTATCAGTACTCGAAGTACAGTATCAGACAGCTTCAAATTACAAAAGTATTAATGCTGTGACGATCACTTCATAATTCACTGACACACTCAAGTCTTTTCTTTTGAAGACAGCTCAACAGGGACCTGTTGTTCCTTTTCACATTTCACATATGGATTTCAGAGTCTTATTTTAGATTGCTATTGGATTACTTCAGATTTGTATTGTCAGGGATGTAAGACTAATGTCAAACTGACCTGAAACACAGAGCTGTGCAAAGACAAGTTAATAATTCCACTTTTATGTGAATCCAGATGTTTGTGAGAAGATCACTTTTACAACCATCGAGAACTTATGAACAAGCCTTATAAATGTGTGGTTTTGAATTTGTAAAGACCAGAATTCTCTGTCCATGGACCAAAGCACATTTCACAAGGAACAAATAATTATGGAACCCCAAAACTCAGGGTAAGACTTTTGGCAACTGTATTTCATAGAATCACAGAATGGTTTAGGATGGAAGGGACCTTAAAGACCATCCAGTTCCAGCCCCCCACCATGGGCAGGGACACCTTCCACTAGCCCAGGTTGCTCAAAGCCCCGTCCAGCCTGGCCTTGAACACTGCCAGGGAGGGGGCAGCCACAGCTTCTCTGGGCAACCTGTGCCGGTGTCTCACCACCAGGAAAGAATTTCTTCCTTACAACTAAAGTAAATTTACCCTCGCTCAGTTTAAAGCCATTACTCCTTGTATTTAAATACGCACTGCCTCACATGCTATTTCTCTTTTATTTTGGTCAGAGTGTATGTTTAAAACGATATTTTCACTTTCAGGTTACTGCTTCCATTTGCTCTTCCCTGAGAAGACTGGAAAACATTGCTTGAATAAATGTAACAATTCCAAAGCAGTTATATAAGATACTCAATGCCACAGATGAGAAATATGTTTAATTAGCAACCTTAAGTCTGTTTTTAAGAGCCCCTCCCCCCCCCGTACACATTGCACAGCATTATGCTTATAAATAAAGTAATTCTCCAACTCATAAAATGAGCATGAATACAAAAATGCATACTGATGGCCATTTTGCCCAAGATCAGACCTCCAAGGCAGAGTATCCTAGAATTAGAGATATGAACGTAATGAGTCCACGTAATTTCCTAGTTTATATGTGTTTATTTTTTGCTTTGATATCAGATACTGTAAAATTAGTTTGTTTTACTCAGGGAAGGGGTAGTACAGAAATTACTCTCCTTGTACATTAACTTAAATGTTTGTCAAAAATACATATTGCTCCTTTATAAATCATATATATATATATATATATATATATATATATATATATGTATGTATGTATGTATGTGTAAAGGTTTTCACCAAGACAGTTATTCCAAGTAGTTTCTTCCTCTTATAATTGTGAACGAAGATGTTGACATCTTTAGATCACCTCTGGTAAAAAAAGCTGCCATAAGTAATAGGACCATTTTATCTTCCTGACTGTTCGCCAAGTTTCATAAGATCGTATATTAGGCATATAGATATATATTTTCTGAAGAATTAAACATTTCGGAAAATGCAGATCATCAAACATAACAGGAGCAAAAAATTACATATAATGAAGTCTTATTTCCGAATTTCTTCTTATTTCTGAAGAAATTCCCAAGCATGCAGATTCATACAATACCTATCCTACTGCTTTTATTCTTCTCCCTTGATTGGACAAAATTATGAAGCAATAAGCTAAAATACTGAAGAATGATTAAGACCATGGAATCATCTCAACTGGTTTCCTCCTGAAATTGATACTGAAACTTAATTGTCCACTGCTCATATACGACACATTCCATGTGTTCAAGGGGGTTTTTAAACATTTTCTGGAAGTTAAAAGACACGTTACGTTTTTTGGCTTCTGAACTGGTACAACATATTCTGCAGCAACAAATACAATCTGCATGTGAATTACTGAGAAACAAAGTGATTGGCTAAAGCTAATAAGTCTTTTTCAGTGTCAGTCTAGAACTCTTAACCTGCATTCTCCAGGATTCAATTTCACTTTCACTTTCAATTTCACTTTATATTGCTCATTTTAAATGAGCCTTGAGATACAAAGCTCTACTATTTATTGTAGTTATGCTGAAGAAAACTATTCCTAACACTTAATAAAATGGAAGTCTGATAAAAGGCAATGAAGTACATTACTCTGATAGTACTGTCAGTGCATTGATCAATATCATGAGAACAATAATTATCCACTCCTGGAATAAGAATGGCCATGCAAGAATTAGGAGTTTTAGAGATGAAATATTCTTCTTTTAGAATACAAACCCCAAAGCTGGTGTAGATCCTCTGTTCCAGGTGCCCCTTGTATTAATTGCTTACTTTGTATTTAACAACACTGAAGAAGTTTTCACTTGTGATTAGACATAGTTCCTTCTTTTTAAAAGACAAAATCACTTTTCTTCTTCCAACAAATTGCTCTTTTTCACCACAAAAACACATTTACAAGGCAATTTGAAGTACACTATTAAAGGTTTTCTGGCAGACACACAAATAACCTCAACACTTAAAATGTAAGTATTTTTCCTAGAAATATATAAAACCATTCAACATAAGGCGATTTTTTTTTACAGTAGTAATCAACTGAAATGTATGTACATACCCATATATGCTGCCCAATGTATAGCTCGTCTGTCTTTCTTGTCAAATGCATTAATATTGGCCCCTCTAGACAACAGTAAGCTGACCATCTGAGATAAACAGAAAGAAAAAAAATCCTCTAGTCCTAATAGAAAATTCTGCTTAAAGTTAGACAAAGAAAATCATAGGAGAAAATAAAAATATGTGTTTTCAAAGGATTTAAATGTGTTGTTTTTTGAATATTCCATAAGCTTCAAAAAACTGGTTGCCCACCTTGGCAGCAATAGTGAAGTGACAGTAAGGAACAGGAAAAATCCATGTCGAAACAAACATTTCTCAGTTAAATATGGCAAAGTTGTGGAATATTTGAAGTCTTCAGGCTATTACTAAGGGATTCACTAAAAGCAAGCCTATCGCAAATTTGCCTCTAATTACCTATACACAATTACAATGGGAATTTCTTAGCAGTCATTTTTCAGGGCTTGAAAACTAGTGAGTTAAATCTTATTACATGTATTTCCTTCACATTTCAGTGACAACATATTCTGTGTGCTCATTATCTACTGAACAGAAAAAAAAATCTGCTTTTTTCCATTCTAAATGCATCTATTACTGGTTTACTTAACTCAGGCACATTTGCTTCTGTCTTAAGGTGAATGCTGTAATAACCTTCCAACTAAATGATGTAATTTCTATTTTCTACAACCATTCTGTACACAGACGCATACAAAAGACAAATTCAAATACAAAATAGGGGTTGGGATTTTTTGAGGGAATGGGGGAAACATGATTTTAAACTGAGAAACTAAACATCAGATATGTGAGGGACAGAATGATGAGTGGGAAACAAGCTAAAAAAACCCCAACTCTTACCTCAACATGTCCACTGAAGGCTGCATGATGTAATGCAGTTCTGCCTGCTCGATCAGACACATTTACGTTGCTTAGGAGAGGCACCAAAGCTTCAGCACATTTCACAGCTTTATTTGCAGCTGCTATATGTAGGGGTGTCTGCCAGTTTTTATCACGAGCATTGACATCCGCTGAATGCTTTAACAACACCTGAACAGCATCCTGAAAACATTTATTGAAAAAAACAAGCCACTTAGTAAAAATTTGAAATGCCAGCCTTAAATCTGAGGACAGTATAATGCAGTAGAACTATTTATAATTTGTTCTTTTGTAAACATCTTATGCTTTGGGATTCATACTTTACCATAAATCCAGATTTGGGGAAGCTCTTAAGAACATAAGCAATAAACTCCCTACAGGGTTCAAATGAATCAATTTTTTCCAGGTCTTTTATCCAGTTCCTTAAGCTGGCTGGCAAATTGTTTTGTCATCACAGCTAATTTCCAAAGCTCAATAAACCTTCTTCGGACTTCTTCCATTGCTAGGGTTTACTGAAGTACTATGAACTTACAATGCATTTTCATCAATTTGCCAAACTACTTAAAACTGTCAAAGTTCAGAAATGGCTAAGAAAAGAACAGCTTATTAAACATATGTTTAGAGAACTACAGATAGAATAGAACATGGTCACAAAAAGTTTCAACATACACTGTTGCAAAACTCCTGAAAACCGTTTAAAAACGTTGCACTGAATTCCATCTCTCAAAAGGATTATTCATTTCCTTTTGTTATAAGTACAAGCTGTGAAAAATTGACAAACAAGAATAATTCTTACAGCAAGAGAAATAAATCCTGTTAAAATATATGCACACAATTGGAATGCATTAAAAAAAATCTGTTATCAACTACGAATACTGTATTTTACAACTCCGTGACCTTTCCACAACTCACTAATTGCTATCAGTGACTTCCAACTCAAACACTGAGCACACCAAAAAATGGTTGGCACTTTGAACTTAAGACGTTACCGCAAGTAACAGAAATTTTGCATTATGTTATGGTACAACAGCTAGGTATTATTCTCAGCTATGAGCAGAATGCTAAGGGACACTTAAATCTATTTATTACAATAAATTGTATTTAAATTCTTAAATTTCTTCTATGGTCAATAAAAAAAATAGGAACAAAACATAAAAGCATCATAGACTTAATTTAAAATGAAAAATGGAATAACTTCTCAAAGAAATTTAAGCAGATTTAGTATGTTAAAAATCTAATAAATATTTTGATTTTTTGTCTTTTTTGAACCAAATACTAAGAAAAACTATAATCAGAACAAGGAAATTTTAGAACATCTATTACCCCTTTTGCCAAAGGAAGCACAATAGTACTAGTATAAAAATAATGTATCTTCTGTGCATAAGCATTGATGAATTTCAAGAATTACTGAATATGCTTAGGGTTGGGTTATTTTGCAAAGTACACCAGGTACACAAACATAAAGGCCTGAAGCATGACTGTCTTGACACGAAGTTGCTTGAACTTGCACAGTTGACAGCTAAATCCATAATTTCAACTGGTTTGCATGTTTCAATGTCCTTGTTCAATTGCAGCTGTTCTTGCTTCAAGAGTAACTTCAGATGCTTTACTGAATCAAGAGTTTTTTCATTACAGCTTTTTTCATCTCATGCCCAAACGCCATGTATGTCTGTCAGCTGGAGAACAGTGCCTACACCACATATGTGGGCTCCTATGAGTTACTGTGTTTATGAATAGAAAATTCTGACAAGCACCTATCACTGCCTTTTGGGCACACAGTCTGATTGGGTTACATGTGTAGTTTGCCTTTGGTTAGTATTTTGTTTAAGTATTCCACATTTAAAAAAATATGACAATGGTTGCATTTCTTGAAGTTATAATTTAGGTCCAGTTTGTCTGCAGCACTACTCTCTGCAAACGTTACTGATATAAGGAGTTTTTATTGTCCCTCAGCTCTGAAGAATGCAGCATTTGGTGCTTTAGTCAGCTCCCAAAGGAGCAGCCTAAAAATACCTCAAGAAGAACAAATAACATTTGGGAATAAGGCATCCTTGAAGATTCATTTTCAAACAGTTTTGAGTAACAGAATCTCCACATAACTTAGCTATTAATGCCAGTGACAAAATATTGCAAATTTATCCAGGGAATTCAAAAGTAAAAACTGAAACAAGGCTTGTTTAGGCAGTTCATGGATCAAATATTTGAAGTTCAGTGCTTGTCATCACCAAAATATTCAATTCCATTTTCTCAAACAAAAATTTACACAGAATCTTTAAATAACCTTTATTTTTTTGAGACATACTGAAATAAGCATTGATTTGATTCAGGATCTCAAAAGGAGGTAAGTTTTGCATAAACTGTTCCACATAACAAGGTCAGCATTTCTCTGTTTTGATCTTCTGCAGGCTTTTAAAAATTTTTATTAGGATATCAGCAATAGAGGAATGTTAACAAATTAATTTCTTAGATTACTATATTCTCACAACTGTGTAACTGGTAGATTTCAATAAAGTTTCTACATATTTAATTTATAAAATTTAAGTGATTTTCAATACTATCATTACTCATTAATTGCTTTTTTGAAAAAAGGATATTTGCAGGCCTTATTGAACCATTTATTTCCTCAATGCCTGAACAGACATGCATGTAAAAAAAGGACAAAATGCAATTATTAAGCTGTAAAAGCTGTACTAGGTCTTAGTTCATCCCTACTTCCCTCATGCTGAACCATTCTGGTTACCTTAAGAGAAGTAAACTGGACTTGAGAACGCTGCATGCAGAATCCTCTGCTAGGGAAATGGAGGAGAGAAGCGCTAAGAACTGGAAGGTTATAGTTTTCGCCCTTTCTTCCTATTGAGACATGTGATACATATACACATATCCTCAACAGGTCAAACAAACTGTTGCAAAAATGTTCTGCAATTCCAAACGCATGGAGTAGATTCACTTTGTAAAAACCAAATAAAGAACAGAAGGCCATTTGAAATGTCTTATTTTACACAAAGCAGTCAGGAAAAAAAGAAGCAGCATACCTCACTACAAGATGCTACAGCTCTGTGTAAAGGAGTCAACCATTTGCTGTCTTTGGCATTAACTCTAGCTCCTGTAACAAAAAATAGGAACAACAGAGAAATTTGTAATATATTTACAAAGACTTAAATATTTGCAAGTACAGAGATAGAACTACTGGAAGATACTTATTCTAGGCTCATTAATACAGAACAATGCCAAAAATGGAAAGGAGTCTCTTCTCCAGCTGAAGTCCACCCTTTGAGGAAATTCTTTTAACACTGCACCCATAATACTCTTTCAAAGTGTACTCATCTTTTAAATTAGGTAATCCTCTATAATCTTTTTCACTTCCAAAGGTACATAAAAGACTGTTGGATTAAAAAAAACCAGACTCCTTGTTTTCATCCAGCAACAAAAATCTCATCCTTTCCCACTACAGTTGAAATTCTCCATTAAAAAAAAGAGAGAGCAGCTACATTTACTCCCAGTGCCTCCAGTTGCCTTGTGGTTGGCGAGTCTGATGCCTAAGTGTATAGAATGATGCTGTTCCTGTCCGCAAGTGTATAGAAACAGCTGTTCCTGCTCAAAAGAAAAATGTTCGCAGAAACATCTGTAAGGAACACAAGCCGGGTTTGGATTTAAAATTTTGTTTAAATAATAAATATAATAATAATAAAATAGTAAAAATAATGTATGTATACATGTATATATCTGTGTGTATGTATACACATATATATAATCTTGGAGGCATTTTTTATACCTTGAGTGGAAAATTAGCCATCTTTATTTGAAGACTGCTGAGATGTTACAGAGATGTGATAGCTTAGAAAAAATGTTACTGTTTTGAAAAAATAGTTTGGAAATACTGCTGGAAAGAGTTCAGAGCAATACATGATATCACACTGTAACATTAATGCTACATGGTCAGAGCTTATTACCTTCTCAGGCTAAATGTAATATTGTTACGTCAAAATCAACTTAAATTTTTTCTATACAAAGAATAGAAAAGGATGGAAGGTGATAAGTCAAAACGTCAAGCAGGCTGCTGGTCAGGGTACTCAGATGAGAGACATGGTATTTTGATCCAAGTGTCCTAGTTCTGCACCAGCAAAGAAGTCTCTCCCAGTCCAGCTGAACATCCTGACCAAGAAACTTAGCAGTCTGCACAAAAACGTAGTTCTATATTCTAAGCAAAGCAAAGATATGAAGTCAGTTCTGAGTTAAACAGGTTCTAGTCAATCCATCCCTTTCAGGCTTAAGAACACAACATGGAAGCTGATGCTGGATCCAAACTCCCACTTTGACCCTAGGTCTTCCAAGTGCCACACAGAGCCTGAGGTCTAACTGCTGGCTACAATTTCAGGGCTTCCCTCTTTCCTTATCCAAATTTCAGAAGTTTTGGGTGTCAGCCTATTTTCCAAGTTCAAAAGTTTTTGAAAAATAAGTTTTAAAGAATGAGAAGAAAGTCCATTTGAAGAAAACTTCTAAAACCTAACAAAAGTTTGAGATGTAAGCTTACCATAAATATCTGCTTTTGCCAACCATCATAAAGACCTAATGTACGGCACCATATCATGTACCATAACATAATGTACGGTATCAAGTTCTGCACAGAACTTAAGCAAAAAAAGAATGTGAGGATTCTAAAAGTCACCAGAAATGTCTTAGGATTTTTGGTAACCCTCCCCAAAAGACTACCTGAATTATCAGTAAGTGATAATGTAATCAATGTATTTCAAATGCATCCGTAATTCTTGTCTTCCCGGTTATTATTAGCCACACATTGTAAAAACAGATGAGAAAAACAAGAGCTAAAATGGTACTCCAAGATCCACCCAACTTTACATCCACAGCCAACAACCAAGGAATGAAGACTTTCAAGGTCTAAGTGATTTCTATTTCTAATTTTAGGATACAAATCTCTTTGAAGTGTTTTAAAGGAATTAAGGGTCACTAAGTCACTGTCCTCAGGAAAATGCATTTGCAAGATTTGAATTCAGGTCAGATCCACCCAGGTGATGAAACCTGAGAAAGAAGCAGCACCATACCCAGCAGAAGGGGAGAAATGCATGCTTCCACTCCAAGGAAGCAGCAGTTACCTAAGCTCTAGCAAAAATGCACGTAGAGTCCAAGCCATTATTATGGGTTCAGGCAAGCTGTTCACTGACAATACTGGTACTTTAAAACACAGCCTAAAAATCACATCAGAAGAGAGCAGGAATAAATACAAAAAGATCTTGGACAAAAGGTTTTCCCGGTGGTAAGTTTATCAAACTTGCTAGGTCTAAAGGAAAAGAAAATCTTAGTGTTGTTTTTGGTAAGAAAGAAAAACAGCATTAGCCAAAGAAATGCCTATGGAAGTCTGAAGTGGTATCTAGAAGTAATGTAGTCCTCTCAAAAGAACAAAATCAACACAGTAATATCTGGCCACCACTTCATAACTGATCTTCTATCCAAAGAAGCAAAAAAGCCTAGGTCTAGTACATCCCAAAGTTAACTTTTCAAATACACAAAAAATTTGTAGATTCTCTGACAAAAAAAAACCCAAAGTTGACTTTTGACAAAAGATCTTCTAAATCTCTGATGGTCTTAGACGAACCACCAACTTTGTTTTTTGCCCCCACAACAAGCAACTCTTAATGGAGTTCCAGAATTGTTAGACTGAAAGAAAAAGTTTTAAAGCAATAATCAGAAGAGTACTACCAAAAACCTTGTATCCGCTATTAACATGAGAATAAGAAGATCTATAGCTCTAGATAACGTTAAACAAAATAATATTTTAGATTAACATAGAGATACTTCCCCCAAATTTCTCCAAGGCAGCATGCTGCCAAGAACTATTTAAATTTCATAAAACAGCTTCTCAAAACAGCCTTGTATCTGAAGGCATAATCCTCCTCTAGGCTGTTCTTAATTACCTAGCACATGATTTGGAGAAAAATACTACCATTTCTCTCCCCACCTTCAGATGCATTCCATGTGACATAAAGCTCCCTCATACCTCTCATACTCCTACCATGCAACAATGAGGAAGTTTATAGCCTTCATCCTCTGGGTTAAAGCTCTACTCCAGACAATTGCAAATAAACATTAGAAAATATATTACACCTTTATTGCTTAAAGATGATTTGCTTCACTGTTTGCTTAAGACAGTTTGAACACATGCACATATATAATTCCCTGTATAACTATGCCGATGCAATATTATCTCTGTGAAGCTCAATCTGCTGACGTGTTAACCAGGGCATTTCTCACATTTCAAATGCCAGTCATGCAGCAGTTTGCTCTTCCAAAGCACAGTGCAGTGTACCTCAATCCCCAATGTGCAAATAAAAAAACAAACCCCCCCAAAAAACCCCACCACACTGGATATTCCAGATTTCAGAGGGCTGGTCTCAACATTTATTAAAACTGCTCAAATATTTCATTTGTTTAATGTAAAATTTCATATATTTAAATACGTTTAATGCCCTAGAGCTTGAAGGAAAAGGATTTGGGGGCTTGCCAAAGATATCAAATAAAAAACTACAACACAAACACTCATCATCTTTGCTTGAACTTAAGAACTGATTATGTAAATGATACTCCCCTAAAAGTACACCTTCCAACCAAACCAATTTGTTCTTCCATGGTGGTGCACTAAGCCGAAATATTAAACAAGATCTTCCCTTTCATCACCAACTTTGCTAGTGCTGCCTACTAAAAGTTCACACATCTAAGGATTTTTGCTCTGCAAAACCGGGGGGGGGTGTGTGTGGGGTGTGTGCAGGAGAGAATTATTATGTATCTTTCTTTTCTCCTCCTTGATTCTTATATTTCATGTTGTATTCACAAGACTGACAATTAGAAAGACATTTAATAAATTTAGTACAGAAGCTACTAAAAAACCCTCAGTGATACTCACTTTTAGCAGATTTATGTTCCAAATGCCACATTTTCCAACTCGATACATATACTGATTTACAGAATGATTCTGGAAGCTTTCATTATAACAGTCCATATCTGGCAACTGCACATTTAAATGTGCTATTAACCACCAACACCTGGACTTATGTTTCTGCAATCCACTTGCTACTTCACTGGTGTCAATATTCTTCACATTTGAATAAGAGCTAGCATCTCAACCATCTCTTGGAAGAGATAGGCAATGAATGACTGCGCAGGAAATGCTTCAAGGAACAGCCACACAACTCCTCCTTCATGCATGAAGTGCCATATAACTATATACAGCCATGTCTCGGCACATCACCTCTCATAAGAGCTTCTGCTGTGACTCTCTTCCCAAGCTACTCTGCACCAGAACTCTTCCTATTTGTAAATCTTCTCAGAAAGCCACATCACTTATGCATCACTACTTGGAAATAGATTCAGAGAAGAAATACAACAGAACTGACATGTCATTTTCATCGTTGCTCCCAATACTGACTTAAGTACTGACTTGCCTTCCACTGTTTTGCTTGTAGTGTGTATTTTTAGACTGCAAAGGATGGTATTTTCCTTTGTTATTGTACAAGATGTGCTAGCAACTGAACAATATCGTAATACAAGCAAATAAAGCAAAAGTGTTTTCAATCACATATGCAATACAGACAGCTGATGTTCAATATTTGAAGCTCTAAAACTGTTTATTTAAGAGTAAAAGACATAAATAAGATCTTTAGATTGCATTTTAGAAAGCTAACAGACTTTGTCTTAACAGCTAGGATACCAAAGTAATTTTATGAGTGATCTTTGCAGAAATTAGGAAGATCTCAGGTATAAATCACTAAGAATAACGAGCTGTCCTACCGTAATTGTTTTCTTAAGGGCTAGTATTAGCTTCAGAAATTCTTCCTTTTCAAATGATCTACTTTTTATCTAGAGAAGAGACTGTGGAAGTACTTAAAGTGTAGACTACACTATCTGTAAACTACACCAGGGAATGAACAGATGGAGAAGAAAACTTTTCCTTAGATAAAAAAAAAAAAAAAAAGTAAAAGTTTGAAAAGTAAAGAAGATTTGAGATCTGAATTGAAGCAATCAGTAACAGAAATCTAGGGTAATTTCCTATTGAAAACTTGGATACTTGGAAAATTGTTGCTACAGAAATAA